AAAAAAAAAATCAGCACAATACCGTCTTTCTGAAGACTTAAACACACGTTAAAACTTTCTGATACTAAAAAAAAAAAATGTCTATCCAATGCTGTTTTTCTAGTATTCCAGGGCTGAATTCTGGTCTCAGGGATATATATGTATGGAGTAACTGCACTGACATCAGTGGTGAATAAAATGCAGCTCCATAGCTCCTAATTTCTTTAATCTTTCAGAGATAAATTCTATCAATCTTTCACACACAGCATTAGACGCCTCTCTTTGTCTAGCCATATAATAAGATTACTTCAAGAGAAACATGGTCCTTTGAGTGAGTAAAGATAGAAAAAAAGGGCTTTATTTTTCAATGATGTATACTGTGCTGGAATTAAGGAGATAGATAGCTGTAATAAGAGCTTATTTTAAGGCAAACCTTCTAGGCAAGGTTGTGATTCTTTTTCAGCGCACATGAAGAGAGAACTGGTCTCTGCTGAACAAGGATGATGGATTGAGGGAAAACAGAAGAAGATCTTTTTCCTGTCATATACAAATCTATATGTACTAATTTATATAGAATAAGAATGGACCTAAGCTACCTGAACCCACTCGGCCTGTAGCTGCTGCTGATTTTTCTACCCCTCTAGAATTACTATATTAATACTACTATTATTCATTATATGCTGCTATAATTAATAGTATTCACTGTACAGGATGTCTTTCAGGTCATTCAATGGCTGTGACAGTTAATGGGGTTTTTCTTATCTGTCATTGTCCATCTGAAAAACAGTTTGAACCTCCTGGTTTGTGTCTGTCTGTCTTTCTCTCTCTCTCTCTTTTTTTCTTAACCAGAAGTCTAAAATAAAAGCGACAAGCACATAATCAACCACAAACAGAAACATCCTCTGTTTGCTTGAGCCTGATCTCTTGACTCTTACCACTGTGAGGCTGCCTGAGAAGGGGGCAGGAAGGGAGGGGGACATCATTTATATTACACTGACCAATGGACCAAATTGCATTCATCTGGCCTTGTCCTACTTGGGCAAGGGAGTCCAGAACTTTTCCCGAATAGATGTAGAATGAGCCCATATTTGTTTTTGTTTGATACAAACTCGCTAATTCTTCCTGCCTTATTCCATTTCAGGTAAAAAGGGCAAGTATTCGAAGCCAAAACTCAAGAGAATGTGCTCTGTGCTAACTAAATGGGCTGCATGACCCATTTTAGCTCCTTTTCTCAAGTTGCTTTCCAAGAAAAATGTGTGCTTTTTGGAAGCAATATGCAAAAACCTCTGTGAGACAATATTTGTTAGCAGTCTGTAATGCCCTCAGCTTCTCTACCTCCTTTCTTCCTCTTCTCTCCTCCCAGAGCAGGCCACAGAGCTGTATGCTGCAAATGTACTGAAAAAGATAGGTTGATTAGGAAATGTTGAGTGCAATTTCAAGGCTATTGCACTGAGCAGTGTAGTGTGGTGACATCTGCAAACTGTAGAGGAAATCAGCTTCACTATGAAACATCCACCTTGGATATCAACATTGGGTTGTAAGACTGCAGCAATTAGGTGCAGTGCAAAGCAGGGTGTCCTGCCTGGAGAGAGACACTGGATCTCCTACTGTGAAGGCTAATGAGGTTCAGGTTTAAAGGTCTGTGCTGGCATGTCTACTAGGAAGTCTTCATTGACTGCAGCTGATGCTGCCATGCCTGAATAACCTTTAAGCTAGCTGGATTGGATGGTGCTAGCCATGTAGACATGGCAGCAAGGGATTCAGTGCAGGTTAACAGTGAAGCATCTCTCAGCTTCTAATGCAAGGTTTACAGAAATGCCCTTAGGGTCCAAGCCCTTCTGTTGGATGTGCAAGTGTCTTACTTCTTTTCATATTGATTCAGTTTCATTACTATCATTTTTTTACTGGTCTGTTTCTTGCCGTGGACAGGTAAAGTCAATAATAGTTTGTGCAACCACCCAAGGGGAACATGAAATATCCAAAGAGCATTTTCCAACCCGACTCAGATCCAGATTCACAAGGCTTGCTGTCAGATGCAGCCAGATGACACAAAAATGAGCAGGACAAACTCACCAAACCTGTAACAATCTCTTGAACTCATGAAATTCGAAGGACTGATATGCAGAAGTCCACAGTTGTGAGGCTAGGGATCCACATCTTTGCCAGAGGGCTGCTTTTACTTGCCAGGCTACTTGCAAATGTAATAGCCTACGTTTGGGCATACCAATTTGAAACAGTTCACAAATCATTGTAAGATGTAGTGGCTAAAAGAGACTATTCTGATTAACTACTCTAACCTCCTAAATAAGAAATGTACCACATGGTGACAATTAACTTTAGAGCAATATGGGGATGTTTATCATGAACATGAAGCCAAATGTGCTTGTGCATTGCAATTTGTTCATGGCAGTTTAATTTGTGGAGGAATGTGTCGATACTGCTTTTGTTCTCCTAAGGAAAGTATTTGAATTGTCTTTACATTTTTCTGTATCTATCAAGTCCTGCTTCTGTCTTTGCTTTGAGGGCTGAATCTGTTCTGAGCCACACTGTTGCAAATCACTACTAACTCCAGTAAAGTTCAAGGAGTCACACAGATGGAAATGACATAAGAGCAAGTTCAGAAATAAGCCGACAGTGTTTTATCAATAACATTGCAAACCTGAGATGGAAACTGTAGCACAAATGAGTGATTAGAATTCAGATCTACAATTCAGTTAGTAGAAAATTAAGAGAGATGTGTAGTTAACAGCTTCTGTTTGAGAAGATAATTGTGAACATCTCTTTTAAGAGATAGATGTGGACTGTGGATGTTGGATCTGAGTTTAGGTCTGGCTTTTAGAAATTAGAAAATGCTGTGGTATTGGCTTTGGGGTTCTCACTCTGGCCAGCTCATGATTTTTTAAAATTATCTTCCAATGAGAGGGACCAAACATTTTGCTTTTCAGCACTTTCTTTGCACTGCATCTCCACAAAAAAAAAAAAAAAAAAAAAAAAGGAAATAAAATGTCTGCCCATTGGTCTTTCCGTAGAGCTTGACCTGGAAGTTCACCTGTTTCAAAGCCCTTTTAGTACAAGTAGGAGAAAGAGAGAGTGAAGAAAAAAAAAACTAGAAAAAATTGCACAAACTGCATAAACGCACCTACTTCTTTCCCCAGTTAAAACCAAAACCAAATCACTCAAACCTTTCCATTCCTCTTTCATTATGTATTTTAAAACATAGGCAAATGAAAGAGGAACTTGACACTGACTGTATTCCTCATTTTCTAGCTATCCTTCAGGCACAAGGGCCAGATTTTGCTTTTAGCAGGAACGTTGGGCCTCACTTGTGTCTGCATGCAGGCTCATGAGCAGCTTTTGTGAGCAGCTCCAAGGAGTTCAAAGTGCGCATAGTTACTCAGATGCATAAGTGTTTTCCAGATCAGGGGTTTGGACAGAACTACAAGAACGTAATAAAAAATGTGGCTGCAACCCAAGCATGCTGATAACGTAACTGAAAGCTGCTGGCCTCATTTAGGGCCCCGGCAGCAAATACTACAGAATCTCCATGTGGTTTGGCTGCAGAGCTGGGATAACAGTGGAGAGGCTGGAAAAAGGAAATCTTGAGAGGCAGAAACTGGAAAGGAAAGGCAGCAACTGAGTGTTGGGAATGAGAAAACTGATCCCATGAGAATGATCCCAAAATCTTCATCATAGTGGCACTGCTAGCTGATGGCAAAGATGTTACAGATAATGCAACCAGACTGACATATTTTTAATGAGGCCTAGCCTTATAAAATATGTGGTACACCATGCTGGCCACACTAAGGAATTTCTTTCTAGAATTCCTGCTTTTGCTCGAATCAATTTGGCTTCTGTAGCACTGGTTGTGCTCGGGGCCTGAGTGCAGACTTTTTGGCCACTGTTTCCAGAGCTGCATTGACTAATCTTGTTTCCAGCCAGGTTAGATGAAAATGACATTAAGCGATGATGTGTTGTCTATCTTAAAGCACCCATTATTGCAGGCAGGTCAGGAGAGAAACAGTGGATCTGGCTTTGATTATAATTTTAGAGGATGTTAAACAAAACACTGATCTATACTGTTCTATGCAGGCATTGGGAATGTTAAGCTACTCCAGTGACAGTGATCCTTGGTTAATGTTGATGGCTATGCAGATGGACTGGCAGATTCAGAGAGGGTGAGCACCAAGACTGATTTCCCTATCAGGTGCTGTGGTTCTGAGAAAACGAAGGCTGTCTGTCCTCGTACGTACTGGGGAGCAGAGACGTTGCAGCTGCATCAGTTCGTTTAAAAGAGAGACAGGCCCCAGGGAACCTCTCAGAGCAAAACCATCTGAATGGGCTGGAGAGGCAGTTCTCCTTTGCCAAGCAGAACCTTTTCTTACTCTACTCCTTACACAGTTAGAGGTATAAAATAAGAAATCCCTCTGGGCAGAGCAGGTGAGTGACCCTGTCTCCTGAGACAAAGCCTCTCTGGCAGACTCTGCCTCCATGGCACTCTGCTGCTCTCCTCTCCTGGCACACCCTGCAGCTCCCCTGGTCCTTGGCAGCTGACCGCGCAGGGCCTGGCTTTGCTGTGGGCAGGGGAGCCAGTCGATGGCTGGACTTCAGGGCAAGCCGAGGGAGTGCAGCTGCTTAAACGGTTTTCCTGTCTAAAAGCGAAGGTCTGCTGGACTATAGCCTAGACTCCGAGGTGTGACCTTCCCTAGGCTATTGGCATCAGTGCAAGGAGTATGGCTGCCCAGCTGTGCCTCGGCCTCAGGGCCTGCTGTTAAGTGGCAGGGTTATATGTGCTGCCAAGGCAGAGTGCCCCCCGCCATGCCCTCCCCAGCTCCCTCTCCGCTCTGCCTGTGAGCTCTGCACCCCGGCAGCAGGATGGAGAGCGGCGCTGCTTTCACAACTTGGACATGTTGTCACTCACATCCAGACATTTCCTGTTATCTAACCTCAGCCTTATCTTCCCCATTCGCAGCTTCCTCTTGAAGGAGGAGCAGCCCCTTCAAAAACGAGCTGTGTGCCCGGGCTGCACCCCCACACTGCTCTCCTCCTCTGCTGTCCCCCGGGTGCCCCGAGTGCCTGGCCTGCACTGCACAGTCCCCACCCTCATGAGAGGGCCAGGATGGTTAGGCACGGTAGGTACCAGCTCCTCTTTCTGTTTGGCTAAAACGGGTTGCTTGGGATGGGGGGAAGGATTGGTCCCTCAGGGCTTGTTGTCCCATTTCTTCTCTGGGAGGTCTCAAAGGTCCACAGGGGTTGGGATATCGAAACCCCATAATATGCACATTCCTGGAAACACAGGAAGTTGTCCTGCTACCCTACATTATACGTGTAGTTGCTAGGGGACCAAAGTCAGATCGCCTTTGAATTGCATCTCCTAAGCATGATCATGGGCCTGAGAGCACACATTCTTTAATGAGAGGAGTTTCTTGGTATTTCCCTTCCAAGGAAAAGCTGTGCTGTTGAGCAGTGTATATTTTTGTAAGTGTATGGTTAGGGGATGGAAATGCCTCTGATTTCAGTCAGCGAGGTCTGCCCTTGGAACCATGATTCATTGATTAGTGTATATTATAATTAATAGCAATAATGATGTGTACATAGCCATACCTGGTACTCAGACGCATGTGCATGCTCTCCACCCCAATGCGTGCGCTCTCCACCCCCATGCACGCACGCACGCACGCACGCACACACACACACACACACGCACACACGCTACAGAGAAGTTGCTGGCCATAGGGAGATTTTGATCTAAATTAGTCATAGATGAGATAGGGCAACAACGAACAAAGAGCAGGGGAAGTTGCGGAACGGAGGAGGGCTTTACAGGGAGAGATGGTGTCCCAGTGCAGGCACGCTCTTCAATTCTTTTTCTTGACTTCTGCCTAGATGACTTTGGAATATTAGACAAGGGTCGCACCTCCTCCCCCTCCCCGCCAACACACACTTTTCTTTTCTCTTTTCTTAAAAGTTACTGATGTGAGCAGTCAGAGAGAGCAGAGACCAGCGAAAGCAGAGCGGAGCTGAGGGTGGAGGCCAGAGCTCAAAGGTGAGTGTTGAGGAGGGATTGGAGAAGGGGATGTGGGGGATCAGTGGTGTTCAAGATAACGAGGGTTTTCACAAACCCTTCCCTGGTGTTTTTGCATAAATCGTGAAGAACTAATTGCAGTGTTCTGGTTCTTAGCCTCTCAAGCCATTTCTGCAGCCGTAACTGAAACCCACAGCCTCCTCGCCTCCTCGCCGATGTATTTACCAGGTGTTGAAAAGGCTCCTTACCACTTGTGACTTTCTATTTCTCTGTGCTCTAAATTGTGGGGCAGACAAGAATGCAGGGAAATGCTTCATTTTTTTTTTGTCTCTTACAATGATGTGAATCCTAGGCCTGAAATCTAGATCCAGATTTTTGCATATCCCAAACTTCAGCAATGCGTCTATCAGGGACATGCTTACTTCTGATGCTTAGTTTAGCAAAGCTGTAAATTGGCCCATCCGCCTTGCTATCTCATAGGATAGGTTTTTAATCCTGAACCAGAGAAGACAGCTTTGCTCTTTGGTACTTCAGGAAAATCTTTCCAGTGTTAGAGGTCTAATGCTGATCCTTCATGTTAAGAAGGATGCAGCACTCTGTAAAATCCTGCCGAACTCCTTGAGACCATGTGAAATAAAGACACCAAGATTGCGTCAATTATTTCACTCACTGCACTGGCAAGACAGGAGTGCAGTGTTACTATCATCTCTTACATGACATCACCCATGAGCATGGTGCTGTGCACAAACAAATTGACAGTAATACCAGAATTGACAGTGAAAGAACTTGCAGGTGAAGCTGAGGTGCAAACAGCAAGAAAGAATGGGAAGGAGAGATCAAGGTACAGGCTATAAAACCATGTGGCTGCTTATTAGAAGTGAGGCATATATGTCCATGGGGGAAGCGTGATGAATTACTTGTTTTACTTGTTTGGGAGTATGAAAAACTAAAGTTGGGACCTGTAGGACAAGATGGAGGAAGACGTTACCGTGAAGCAGGGCTAGGCAGAAAGGACTTTCAGCTTGGGAAAGGGAGAACAAGGGGAAGGGATTGCCTAGGAAAGACAGTGAACTAGGACTAACAGCTTCTTTGATCTTATGACAAGGCAAGGAAAAAATCAGGGTACACAAGGCTAAGTTGTTGGGGTAACAGTTTGACAAGAGGGATAAATTGCAGTGGGAATTCATTGCTGGTTTTATGCGTCCCACAACCTATATGTTGTGATCATTTGATCAGTGGCAACTGCCAAGTTTGCAGCCATGGTATGAATTCCCTACTAAATTACAGGGCACAGAGAGCGGGGGTGATTTTCAGCTCTGGGGAGGCCGTGCAGTCATTCTTCTGAACTTCTGCACATTTGCAGAAGGATGTCTGCTGCTCAGCGACAGTCCTTATTGAACTACTTAAGGCTGTCACCTCCTGCTCAAGGCTGGGACAAGTGCTGTGGAATTGCAGTTTCCAAAAGCTTTCCTTAGGGCATGGCAGCTCCTCTGCACACCATCCAGTAAGCTACAGCCAAAAGACACCTCAAAGCCCGCCGTGAGGAAGCAAGGCTCTCCCCAGTCACTCTAGAGCCAGGGGGAGAGAGGATCATCTCATGCCTGGCACCTCCTGTTTGTAACAAAGGCAGGGACAAGGGTGTCACACAAGCTGTTGCCCTGCACTGCTATTGCACTGCTCCTCCTGGGGTACAAGTGACTTGTGCACCACTGAAAAGACTTTTTCCTCACCTATGTCAGCCCTTTGGGAAAGCAGAACCTGTTGCAGAACCAGCAGCTAAGTAAGCCTCCTTAGCCTGGAGCTGCATGGCACAGCCAAGCAGGCAGCCGCAGAGCTGCTTTGGCACCCGTTAGCTAAGAAGCAGGCATTATTAATTAACAAGCTGTGGCATTTGGCCTCATCCAAGTCAGCAGATGTGTTACAGATATACGCTTGGATATGCAGCCCAGCTTGCCTGCGATGCAGCAAGCCATTTTGGCAGCAGCTCCAGGTTTTGCTGGAGCCTGCCTGCTACATGAGATTGAATTCATTGAGTGAAACGTTCAAATGTTTGTCGGGCAAAGATCCCAGCAGAATCAGCTGAAGGGTTGGGATCATGGAAAGGTCCAAAATGGATCAGAACGACATCCAATCCAAGTTTGCACTGACTAAAGACTTCTGAATTTGCGTTTGCTACAGTGAAGGTTTGCAGTTTCTAGGAGAATCACAGAATGGTTGCAGCTGGAAGGGACCTCTGGAGATCATCTAGTCCAAACACCCTGCTCGGGACGGGTCACCTAGAGCACATTGCCCAGGATTGTGTCCAGATGGCTTTAGAATATATCCAAGGAAGGAGACTTCCAAGGTCAGGGATTCAGCAAAGTCTGTTCCCCACAGTTCTTTGGGAATTCTTGCTTTCAATTCAATCTGAGAATTGGGTTTCCTCTGCTAAGCGGAAAACAGAGACGGCTTTGAATTCAGCTCAAATTCTGCATGACAAGTGCTTGTCCTGAAATGGCTGCAGTCTGCATCTTAGGACCCTGTCACTCAGCATGCACAACCCCCATAGTCACACTTTTATGCATGCTATTGTTAGGTTTAGAATCAAATCCATCCAATAATTTTACTTTTCACTGATTTTCATCACTAGTTGCAGAACAGTCTGACAGCCCTGTAAAAATTCCTGAGATCACATGGGTCTTGGAAGGGGAAAGCTGAAGCTTTTTGTGACTTTAAGGGTCTGACAGAAGAATGCAGAAGGAAAAACTCTAGCACCTGGTTGCTCAGTCTGTTTTATAACACAAGGCTTTTACTTGGAAATACTCATTTCAGCTTGAAACCAGAAGCTCTGACAATGACAAATCCATTCAAAACAGATACTATCGTTACAGGGTGGGGTAGTGAGCTCCATTCCTATCTACTGATAGAATTATCTCCACTGTGTGACCCTCCTCTAATCTGTTGCTAACAGCAACATTTCAAATGGCTCCCCTCCACCAAGAAAGCCACAGTGGGGGGATAATTTTAAGATGCAATAGAAGAAGCAATGCTGTCTTTTTTTTTTTTTTTTCCCTCTCAAGGCCAGATCTCCCACTGTTAGAAGTCAGCACTGAAGCTGAGGAAAGTCTGGTGACTGGTATCTGCTGAAGAGCCTATTCAGTCTTTTCTTTGTGCGGCCTCTGCATCACAATTTCACATGGCTAAGAGTCTTTATGGGGACCACAGGTTCATTTTTCTTCTATCCAAATTGCTGAGACAATGTTCTCAATAGTATGTGGTATCTAACTCTTACCAATAAATAATTTCCAGGTAGAGACTGGGCATCCCTGTTTTACTAACATCAGCAACAACCATGCAAGCCCTTCAGAGCTTGTTAAAAAATGTTACTCTGCGTTATGCAACAGAGTTTAATTCAGAAGGACAGTAATTTGACAACCAGACTGACTTTAGACAGGGACCCAGGTGTCTTTATGACTGATCTGTTGTTAAAACCCACAGATGAGAGTATTTTAGATTAACAAAATTGTTAATTGCCTTGGTTACATTAAAACATCTGTGCAAGAGTGACAAAATGCTGGGAAGGCCTAGAAGATAGGTGGGTGCCCCTCTGCCCCAGTAACCAAGAGAAGTCAGGTTCCTGACCGCCTTGTACCTCAGACAATATCACTACATTGGTGTGAAACCTTGAAGGAGATAACAGAAATCAGTTTTAATTGTGCTTAAACCAATATATCTTTTGCTAGACTGATCTTAAATCAGCTTATTAACACTAACACAAGGTTTCCAGTACTCATACACATACTTCTTTTATCTACTGTGGTTGAAATTCATTCTGAATTAGGACCAGAACAAAGAACTATCCACTGTTTACGTCTCACTAAAGGCCTAAAGTGAAGGGTTGGGAGAATGTAAGAATGGCAAAGGCTTTGTAGTAACCCTGTCTAGAAATGGATTTTATCTTCAAAGCTATAGCTGTTCTTTGCTGTTAAATCCTTGTTTCATTCTCTGTTGTTTGTGGAGCACATATAGAAACTACATACTTGACGTTACCACTTTTTATTTTGTACTTTTACATAAAAACGTCTCCTCTTTCCAGGCTTATTTCTGTGTGTGTAATATTAGATGGGATCTTATGATCATCTTTCTAAAGTAGAATCCTAGAAGTCAGAGATTCTACTAGCTAGAGAAGTTAGAGAAGACTGAATAAATCACCCACTGCAAGCCACTGTTAATAGAGCTTAGCTGAATCCTACTTTTGTGCCCTTTAATGATCTGCCTTCCAACATATAGTTAACATATTCGTTTTAGTTTATCATTGCGGTATCAAAAACAGCCTGGCTGCTTTCTTAGAAACTGGTGCTGCTGGTCGTGTGAAATTAAAATCGAGAACTGGAAGAAAGCTAAAAGCATCATCATTAAAACTAGGCTATGCCTGGGCCTGGCCTGCAAAGAGTATGCATTACATTAAAATAGTGTTATATAGAACAGGAGCAGTATAGGAGTCATGATGAGTTTTTTGAGTTACAGATTTGAAATTCTGATACTATGCTTTTAGATTCAGCTTCTGAACTGTCAGCATCCCAGAAGGACACAGAGCACAGTAATATTTAGCAATACATTTTCTCCTGTATATTTTGGTATTTAATTTTTTAAATGCATTTCTGCATTTAATGCACAACCTTGCTAAAGGAATCTTTTGATCTTTATGCAAAGAAATAGTGGGAGAGAGGGGTTATGTTTGTGCTTAAAGGTTGGATTATGCCAGCCTATGGGGGTGGAAAGCTCAATTTCTTGCAGCAGAGGCTTTTTCTGTGAGCTGGAAATGAAGCAGAAGGGGTTAGTTTCGACAACAGAAGAGAAAGTTTCACTTCATTCTTGAAAAAGTTCATTGTTTCCATATGCGATGGTTTGGTTTTCATTTACCGCTACAATCTCTGCAACCATTCTGCCTAATAGTGCAGCTTCCTAATGGCAGGTGGAGACTGGGCCTGATGTTTGCAAGGATGAAAGGTTGCAGTGGCTGCTTTTTTCACAAAAGTGAAAACATGGCTCAGAGTCCAGTGCTGGTCACTAGACTTACTTCCAACAGGGTCAATGACAAATCACCCTGTGCATGCAGAGGCAGATTTATACATTTTTTTTTTTCCAGTTAGGCTTGAAAGGTTCCCTCTTCAATTGCTTAGGTCTGGGTTAAAAGGTTGGTTTTTATGTATCAGTGGTACAGTAAGAAGTAAAACACTGAGCCTCTCCTGCCAATAGGAATTCTGTCTTTGGCATTCATGGAGCCAGGATTTTACCCCAACCTGTGTTAGATACAGAAGCCCCATCCCATGTTCTTTGGGATCTGTCACACCAGTTACAACTGAACTACTCACATGTCTAGGGTGAGGCATTTAGCTGAAGTACCTTACTATATGGAGGCACTGGGGAGTGCCTGACCACTTGAATGCAAAATTACCATAGGGACCCAATAAAAGAAATTAAATTGAGAAACTTTAACAACTTGTTTGAATTTAGGAGGATAAAAATGAAAGCTATGAAAAGTCTATTAGATTATCATGCCCTTATCTCTGTCCAATGCAAGATTGCTCCCCTGCCCTGTGTTCGCTGGGTCTTTGTCTAGACTTTGTCTACAGCGGCGCTGGTCTTCCTGATGAGGTACCCAGACCGCATGTCTGAGTATTTGCTTAGCCATTTTGTCAGTATTTCAAGCTACTAAGGCAGGCTGTATAAATAAGGCAGAAGGTTAGCTTGGAGCTTTCAGCATCATTTCCAGTTTCACTGATCTTCAGCCTTTGGATCAACACAGCAGATGTTTTCTGCAGCAGAAGGCAGTGTCTGTCTGCTCATGGAGTTCTCTCACCCGAAGAAAAGCATTGGAGGGAGGAATAGGGTGGGGATAATGAAGGTTTTTGCTAACTGAAAAAAAGCCTCTGAAGTTAACAGCTGCTTCAGCCCTTCTTTTTCCTCTCCATCTGCCTAGGATGCCACCTCAAAGATCTGTCCGACGACACTTCAGAGAGCTGCAGTGCAGCACTGCGTGTATTTGACAAGCTGAGTTTGACACTCAGTGTGGCAGAGTGTCAGTTTGTCAAATACCCCAAGTGAGGCATTTGCTTAGCGACACAGCGCGACACCAAGGAGACCGACCCCTTCCTCTGACTCGGGTGGGAAATTTCCTGTCCATATTCTTCCCTTCGCCAAAAACCCAAAGAGGTATAGAACAAACCATTTCATTACTGAATGTCTGACTCTGACTCCCATTCCCTTCCACCCCAGTTTTGGAAATGCCTATTGGGGTACTCATCTTATTGGCAGATCTCTATAAAAGCAGCACTGGCACAATTCCACTGTGATAGGAAAGCACAGAATTTGGCCCAGAGAATTTTATTCTCTGCGGCCAAACACAGTGCTGTTCTCTTTCACAACATTAACTAGCAGGTGTTAATTAAGCTCCTGTTCAGTTAAAGGTTATGGCTACTACCTACAGTCACAGCAATATGGTAGTAGCAGCATTATCCATAACAGAATTCTTTCATTGGACTTATAGGAATCTTCTTTTAATTGAAGTGGAAACTAATGAAGCTGCTTTTTCACTTCCCTGTATTCCATTAGCCAGTGCAAATTGGTTGTTTGCTCAATCCATTTTTAAATTAAACCCTATAGTCCATCTCTTGTTCTTGAAGCCCTTATTGTTTGGAAAAGACTCATTGCTTTTGGCTGGTTATTCCTAATCAGCACTTGCTGCAAGGTTGCCTATTGCTTTTGCTACATTCCTACCTGCTATTTTATTAAAATAATTCCCTCTAAATCATCCCAGCTGAAGATCTAATGATTGGTTAACATTTTTAATGGCTGAGTCATGGTATTTCATATTCACAGCTTGAGATATCTTGGGGGGTGAGTGTCACAGGGCAAGCACCAGCCACGTTTGACAATTTGAACTCTCTGAAGAGGTTTAAAATTGAAAATGCAGAAACTAAAAGAAAGTCCTAAGATACTACTGACTTGTTTCAGAGCAGTATCACCAGCAAATTTTGCAATATTTGAGAATATTGATAAACTTCAACACTGTGGTTTTGTTTTTTTTTTTTCTTGCCACTGTTTCTTGCCAAATATTTTGAAGAAGTTGGGATCTTTACAAAGCTGTGACCAATGGATATATAGCATTGCCTAAGCAAATTGTGTTCTGCTTTCTGAATAAGTCCTATCAGCAGGGCTTATTGTGCACTTCTGGACAAACACGGTCCTACTCATTATGACTCACGCTCCCGTGGTCTCTCTCCAGCACCTACTCATGACTCACAGACATCACCCTGATCCATATCGCTGAGGTCAGCTTCAAAAGAGAACAAAGTCTATTATTTCGAGGGTCTTTTTGTCCCCAATGGATCCTTAATGTAGGAGGCAGATATATCAACCTAAACTCTTTCTGCCATTACAGTCCCCATGGTTTCAGAAAACCTAAACTCTCTTGCGCCACAGCTAGCTGAGGATACATTTTAAGCTCCTCAGCACTGTTTTCTTACAGCTTCCCAGTTATTAACCTTTGCTGGTGTTTGCCCTTCTCCTTTTTTGCTAAGTTTTCTCCGGGCAGCCCCCAGTTCCTTCTGAATGGCTGGGGGGAAGGGGAAGAAGTTTATTCCATCCTCTCCTGCAAGAGGAAACATCAACTTACAGTGGGACAAATTTCTCTGTCCAGAACATCCTCTCCTTTCTCCAGGAGGAGAACAGCGGTTTCAGAATGGCTCTGAAAGCCAGGGAAACCCGACAATTTAAAAGCCAACACGTCCCCTCAGATGTACAAACCGTGCAATCCCACCCTGCTTTGAAGCAAGGGGAGTTGCAAATCTCATGACACTGTACTGGCCACTACAAAATAGCATTTATCTGGAGGCAGTGTCGTTTTAGAGCGGAAGCTGAGGTTTCCCTTTCTGTGCTGGTGCAGAGCTGGAGCTTAGTGGATGAGTCACCGAGTAAGTGACCAGCACAAGGAAAGGAGAAGTTCTCTCATTCAATGGAGACACAGCACAGTAAAGTCCTCTGCAACTTTCAGAAGAAAAATGTTCTGATCAAAAAAGCTTTTACTACATTCCGAAAATATAAATAAAAAAAAAAATCACACACTTGCTGCACAGGGAGAAACAACCACCTAGGCAATGGAGAGGGTCTATTTGCATTTCTGCTGTTCTGCTGATGATGATCAAAACTAGTTTGCTGCCTGAACTAGAGGCAGTGCCAACAACTGAAGCACATAGTCTGCTCCAGCTGGGGCATTTGCTAACCCTTCCTTAGCCCTGTTGCCTTTTCCATCTGTAGCTCCTCCCAGGCTTCAGGGTTTCTGAAGAAGCTGCACGAAACTCCTCAGAGTACATCAGTGCTCAGAGGAATCAGAAGTAGGAACAAATCATGGTCTTACACAGTCCGTGAGGGACCTTGGAGTTGGGAGATTATGACGGCAGCAAATCTTAAATAAAACACTAGGTTAATTGTTTAAAAAAAAAAAAAAGGATGGGACTTGTGAAGAAAAAGATAGGCAGTTCTGCCTGTTGGGTCTGACTCTGTTGTGAGGAGAGGATGAGGACGCTGAGACATTTTCAGTTCCTTCCCCTCACAGCTCCAGCCTTGCACCACACACTTCTACTCCACGTGATCACAGCGGTGGCTATCCCGTCCACCCATTTCTCTTGTTCTGTATTGCCCCTGAAACTGCTAACACCAAAAGCTGCTGTTTCAACATGGTGTCTTCAAGAGCAGCTTCTGGTGAAGCGTGCTCTGCAGTCTATGCACTGGCTACCACTGCTGTGTGGGGATGAATTACACTACCCCCAACAGCAAAGCACAAGAGACCTTACACACCTCTTTGATGGTCTCAACACTTCTTGCCACTGGGCGGGACAAGGCTCCCCTCCTCCTCCAGCTTTACCTGGGAGTCAGCCAGATGTGCGAGAGAGCAGCACCAACATATATGCCAAGAGGGCAACGCCTGGAGCAGGTCCTGGCCCCGCCAC